CCAGGGGCAAGGGTATTGACTTTGGGTGAATTAGAATCCAAACTAGAATGTTAAGCTAAGCAATCAACTAGTCTTATAGGTCTAGACACTTCAATAGACAAACTCTTTCTCAAGAAGGATGCCCTTTTGCTTTCAAGCTTTAGGCATCAAATCTCTTTGGCCTAAATCAATCAAACAAACATTAGGAATAAGTCTACTAACCATCTAAGCATCCCTAGCATCAAGTCTCCTTGGCTAAGCAAGCAAAAAGCATAGATACTTTGGTTCAGACATTTTCACAAACACCTTGTGGGCATGAAATGTCTAGGGTTCTAATCTAGTGTGATCAGTACTAAACTAGCATTAAACTCAAGTATTATGCATAAGACATCATGGATCTAGCAATTAACAACCTAGATCTTCATCACATCACCCTAATCACCCAAGCCCCAAATCTCAAAAGATGTCTACTCACTAATCATCATTCTTGATCTTAAACTCATGAGAGATTCAAGACTAATCATGATTAAGAGATGAATAAGACTCAAATTACTCAAGAAAGAGAGATAGAATTCCAAGTTTGTGTTCTTAGATGATAAAACAAAGATTAGCCTTCTAAAAGTGCTTACAAGGGTATTTATATCACCCCTAATAACCTTAAGGTCTCATAATTAAAAAGACTAAACAACCCTTAGTCATTAGGCTAAAGTTTGGTCTTGGGCAGAATGGAGAAAGCACGGAGCGGGTGGAGTACTCTTGGACCAGCCCGGTATGTGCCACCCGGTAGGGAAGGTCGGCTGTTTGGCGTTGAGTTGCGGCTGGGTTAGTCCAGCCGGTAAGGGCTACCCGGTAGGCTCCTGCGCATGTCCAGTCCCGTTTGCGACCGGGTGCAATCAACCGGTAAGGTCTGCCCGGTAAGGATCCTCGCCAACCAACTCCCACTTTGCGACCGGGTGATGGTACCCGGTAAGGGCCACCTGGTACAAGCTAGGCCAACCACCAAATCTCATCCAAAACTCCATATCAAGAGCTAAACACCTCTTCAAGCCTCATACCTCATCCTTTTGGTACTCCAACACCTGATAGGACTTATGAATGCAAATGCATAACCTAAAGATGCCTAAATCTTAATCTAATGCACTTTTAATACTAAAATGAATAGCTAAAACTAGGTAAATATGCCTCATATCACTACTGCGCTCGTTAGTTTCTTTGTGGTTGCCTTAGGTAACCTATAGCAGGACATCACATGATTTGGCAACGGCGTAACCACCGATTTAATAATTACTTCTTTTCCTCCTTTCGTAAAAAACCTTAATGTCCATCCATTAACCCTTTTGTTCAACCTTTCCTGTACAAAACCAAAAACTTGTATTTTAGATCCAGCCAGACTCTCTGGTAGGCCTAGATATGTTCCCATGCCTCCTATGTTCTGGAAGCCTAAGATATCCCTTAGCTCTTGTCTGTTCTCTTCCCCAATCCTATGGCCAAATTCAATTGAAGATTTCTGAAAATTTATTAATTGACCTGAGAAAACCTCATATTCCTTAAGTATAGCTAGTATGGTTTGACACTCTTCCGGTTGCGCCTTGCAAAAGAAAAGACTATCATCCGCAAAGAGAAGATGAGAAATCACTGGACACGCTCTAGCAACCTTCATTCCTGTTAATCGTTTTTGTCGTTCGGCCTTTTTGATGTTGGTAATTAAGGCCTTTGTACACATAATAAATAGATAAGGCGACAGAGGATCCCCTTGTCTTAATCCTCTTTGCGGGATAATGGAACCCTTGGGTTGCCCATTTATCAAAACTCGATACTGGACGGAAGATATACATTCCATCATAATCTTTATCCAGTGAGGATCGAAGCTCATCTTGTGGAGCAAAGCTTGAACAAAATCCCATTCTACCCGATCATACGCTTTACTCATGTCTGTTTTAATCGCCATAAATTTCCACCGACAAGTATTATTGGCCCGTAACCCATGAAACATCTCCTGAGCAATTAAAATATTATCCGAGATTAATCTCCCTGGGAAAAAAGCCGATTGTGTTTCCGATATTAGCCTAGGCAAACAACTTTTCAGCCTTTGACATAAGACTTTTGAGATGATCTTATATCCAACATTACACAGGCTTATCGGTCGAAGCTCCGTCATCCTTGTGGGTTTCTCCGTCTTCGGAATCATACAAATATGAGTAATATTTAATCTAGCATCCAGAACACCTGAGACCAAAAAATTATTCACCATCTCAACCATATCCTTTTTAATAACATGCCAGGAGTGCTAGAAAAAAAGCGCTGTCATTCCGTCAGGACCTGGTGCCTTCTCTGGATGCATCATAAATAAAGCTTGTCTGACCTCCTCCTCCGTAGCCGTTCTCAACAAACGTTGATTGATTTGAGTTGTAATATTTGAGGGAACTTCGTCTAGAAAACTATCAAACTCAGATGGGGAAGTGGAAGTAAACAACTCCTCAAAATAGTTTTGTTAAAGCATGATAAAACTTGATATTAAGGTCTCCCGAAGAGTACCACATATTACGACTCTTTTGATACCAGTAATCCTCCTCATCCTTGTACGCGACTTGTAATTTCCTAGACACCTCCAAAATATCCTCCTGTGTTCTATTATCATCCATCTGTACCTCTTCAAGAGCCCTTTGGAGATCTTGAATTTTCTCTTTTCCATATGGAGGATTGTTGTGCCTCCACCTTGCTATCTCATGCCTACAGTTACTAATTTTTGTGACCAAACCATCTCACTGACCATTATTTTCTTTTGTCCAGCCAGCAACAATTGATTCTATAAAACCCTCCTGCCCAATCCATCTTTTATCAAACCTAAATTGTCCCCTCTTTTTATAGACTTTATCCTCTATATATGCCATGACTGGACGATGATCCGAACTAACCATCCCCAAATATTCTGTATAGGAACACGGGAATAGTGTCTTCCATTCTTCATTTGCGAGTGCTCGGTCGAGGTGACATCTTATCATTACCGCTCCTTTTCCTCTCCCTCTACGTCCTTGCCATGACATTTTATTTCCCCGAGTCGGGAACTCAATTAAGCCACTGTTTCTAATCATATTATTAAACGGAACAAAAGAACTCAAACTCCTTAATGCACCTCCTTTCTTTTCATGATTTCTGGTAATCTCGTTTAAATCTCCAATGATAAACCAAGGGTCTGATCTTGCTAGACCATAACGAGTCAATCGTTCCCAAACTTGTTCCCGTAAATCTTGTACCGGATCTCCATACACAAAAGTTAAAAAACTCTTTTTCCCCATCACCACTGCTTCCATATCAATCATCCGATTACTCGAGTATAAAATCTGCACTTGATAGTCGTTATTGTAGAAAAGCGCGAGACCCCCGCTTCTGCCAACTGGGTCCACCGTAACCAAATTATCATTTCCAAAATGGGCTTGGAAACCTTGTACAAAATCATAATTTTGTTTTGTTTCCAATAAAAAAAGAAACTCGGGTTTATGTTTATGCCATATCTCCCGTAGATAACTTATTGTCCATTTACTCCCCATCCCGCGACAATTCCAACTTAAAATTCTCATAAAAAAACTTTGGGAATGCGCTCCGTAGAGCAAGGGAATAGGGGTTTAAAGAGACCCTGGATTCTGAATATGTGGTAACCACCAATGTTACTAAATTTAAACACCAACTTGTGTAGACCATACAGCATTCTCCAAAGGTCATTTCTCCACAGGATAAATTGTTTAATGAAATCTCGAATGACATACGTAGATATCCACAGCCTTAGAGATAAACGCATACCATTGAAAGATTTGTTACCCACCACCCAAAATTGCGCACAAAATAAGATGATAGATAATCTTGTTATCCATTGCGTGTTCCTTCCTTCTAACCAGCACCAATAATAATCAGAGACCGTCATTCCAATTAATTTAGTGCACACAGTCCCTGCTCATCTCCATTCCTTTGCTCGAGCAATACATATGAACCAGGACACCCCACTTATCTCCAATCTCATTTGGTGTGATGAGACCAAAAACCAACCACTCGTAGGAACCAAAACCCGTCTCTGCCGTTTCCCAAATATCCAGTGACCATAAGTGTACCAAACTATCCAAATATAATATACCTCATTGATCAATTCGCTTAAGAACAAAGGCGTATCACACCCAATTATCTCTGTACACTTACAAAAAGAAAACGTCCACACCATACCTGGTAGGTTTAAAAATACCCACCACAACCATGATATCACCTTTAGAAATGTCAATATGTGAAAAATGAAATTATCCGAACCCTGAAAAGAATAAAACAAGCAAATTCCACACATGGAAACCACAAGTTTGCCAGAAATCAAGAACTTCCTCATAAAGACATAACAAATATTCCAATGCCAAACTCTATAATCACAATATAGTAGTAGCACCAATGAAACTCGAAGCCTACCAAATCTGCCATTGCTACCTAATACAAAAATGAATAAGTGCCCATAATACCCTTTCCCTAATGTAAAAATTTGCATGTTCTTCCAATCACCAACTAGCCTCTGTACTCTGATTATCCTACAGTTGTGTACATAAAATGTTGTCCATAAGAACACATGACGTAGCAATGGGGAAATCCACCAGAGCCATAAAACTCCCTTACACCTCAAACACAAGTTAACCCCTTTCACTTTAAAAGGAAAAGATAAATACCAACAACGAAAACCCACCTCCTTAGTTCAATATCATGACCCGGTCTCACCAAAACCTTCCATTGACACCTCCAACCCCCAACAAACCAATCAGATAAAATAAAACCTCCAATATTGTTCCAAATCTTAAAGAAGAACAGAAGCCAGCCATACAACCATAACCCTATGGCAAAACAAAACCTCACACTAAACACCAGTGGAGATTGAAAGACAGAAAACAAAAACATGCTCCAAGAGCTTATTAAAGCAAAAAATAGAAAACAAAAACCACCAACACAAACTCCCTGTGTACTCCTTCGCACCAAAAGCTCCTGCTTCATAAAAAAAACTAGGCTTTTGGAATTCCAGAGGACGGGATTGAAGCACCCTTTCCCTCCATCTGTTTGACACTCTCACCTTGTCTAGTCCCTTGCTTGGTCGTCCCTTTCTTGCGTGGTGATAGCACTGTGGAGGCAGCTCTCATCTCCGAACTAGCCGCTAGTTGTGGGGGTTTGAAGAGCTTCTTGCGAGCTCCTTGGTTCTTTCCAATATCCCCTATCCCGCGGATTTTTCCCTCTACAGAAGTATCATTCTTTTGCCCCTGATCTCCAGCCTCTGCATATCCATTCATTGAGCTATGTATCCCCTCTTCAGTCTCCTCCTCCTGCACATCCTCTGGCACTTCCTCCGCATCCATATCAATGCCATTTTCCAAACAATATGCCCTAATTTCATCCATTTCCATCAAGACATCCTCCTCCCCTTTGTTTTTCTCCTCCACCATCTCTTGTAACTCTCTACATCTGTAGGATCCGAGACAAGCATTGCGTCTAATGACTGTGTATTTTCAAGTGCCTTTTGAAACTCGTGAGAAGGTGCCACAACCAGATCCTTCCCATGTTTCACCACCTCTCCTGCCTCCATATCCTCGTTCTCATATTTCTTTGAATTTCGTTGGTCTCCTATCTGCCTAGGAGGACTAACATAATGTCGTTCATGACCCCCATACCTTGAAAGCTCCTTGCGTGTAGATCTATGGCGAGAAGACTCTCCTTCTCCTCTAGTGTGGCTACCATGATAATGAGCCCTCTTGTTTCCTTTATCTGTAACTTGAACCCATCTCGAGTCAGTCTCGTCAAAAGCTTTTCCTTTGCCTTTCCCGTGATACTCATGCCCCTCTCTCTCCCTCCCATTTGGATTCTCGGCACCATTTATCACCACACCCTTGTAACTTCTTGTCCAGTCATCATGCTTGCCCCCTTCATATCTCCCACCATGTCCATTACGTTGTTCCTGCTTCCTGTCTGGACTTTGATGAGAGTTCTTCTTGTTCAAGGGACATTTCTACTCCTTGTGACACAAAATAAAACAGGTGGAGCAGTATCCAAACAGCTTCTCAAAACGCAAGGAAACCGAGACCTCCTGCTCATCATAAAATTCCCCCCTTTGAAATCAATCGTAGTGTCAAAGCAAAGCTCCTTATATCCATCAACAATCACTTGTACCCGTCTGTTCTCCAAGTCCCCCGTAACCGACCTTCCTATTGCACTGCCAATGCTCTCAAAGGTTGGCTCCGTCCTGAACTCCGATGGAACGCCGAGGACTCGCACCCAAAAGGGTATCTCAAACGGGAAGCACTGAGCTTTACCTGGTTGCCATCGTGCCAAAACCACCATCCAATAATCAAAATGGAAGGGCTGTGAAGCAAGAACTCCTTCTAAATCTTCCTCAGATTGGAAATCAAATTGAAACTTGCCAAGTCCCAAATCTGAACCCACTACCCGATCCTCCACATGCCATATCTTCGGGAGATTCATGAGTAATGCCTTCATGTCTTGCTCCTCCGGGCTCATGCACCTTCCAATCAATGTTTTGGAAAATGTTTTGATGAGCTCCGAGTTATCGAAGTGAGGTACCGAGATCTTCAATCTCTTGCGCATCCCTTCTCCATTCTTCAACATATTAATTTTTATCAGTTGAACCTTTTATCAAAACTTCAAAAATTATTAGAATTTATATATTTAAAAATAAGGAATAAAAAAATATTTAAAATAAATAATCATTAAATATAATATAACATTATTTTTACAAAATATAATTTTAAATCTATTAGTTTAAATAAATCCAAACTGGAAGAGTTAAATAAAATTAAAAAATACAAAAAATATATTAATGGCTTTCTTAAACTGGTAAAATTAAATATAAAACTAATATCAAATGTAAACTAAATTAAAAATAAAATAATATTATATTATATTTAAAAATATTATTTCTGCACATAGCGCAAGAAAACTTCTAATTACGATATATAGTATGTGGAAGCACCATGACTTGTGGTCACGGTTTAAAAGCTTCTACACTTAGGTGTGTGGTTTGAATCTCATGCTATGCAGTTTCTACACCAAGATATCTAGGTTTCAATTGTTGGGAAAAACAAATTATGCAGAAAATTAGAGAAAAGACTTACAAGAGATCTTCAGCATGACGCAAGGAGTACTAGCAGGAATGAATTTTATAGAGCAGCTCAAGATGTTGCAGTTAGACATAAATCCTCATAAGACAACTAAAATTATCGACTATAATATCGTCTTTGTAATGTTAATCATAGTTTATAATAGCACAATTAACTAGACAAAAATATATAATCTAACACAAGTCAACTAATTAAAATAGAAGTCAATAAACAATTTTACTTATAAAGTTAATATAAAAAAGTCCACTTTCGCTCCAGCTTTCTATCATATTGACACATACAAGATAGAAACTTATAAAATGGAAAACAGTTTGTAAAATTTTTATAGTAGCAACCCCCATAAGAAAATAAACCACATATTTTACATATATATCTCTATAATAGGTGTTTTTTCCCAAATTTACGGATTGAATAATTTCATAAATATAGAAATAGATATATCATCAATTCAAACACCATTAAATGAAGTTATTATTCATATGTTCAAAATATTTAACAATAAATTAAACTAAATTTATAACATAATATAAATTACTTTTAGATAATGATAATGTTAATTCTAAAATTAATGATAACAAATATATGGATGTATCGTTATTTTTAAAAACTATTATATAGAATAATTTTTGGATAAAATAATATAAACTATTTTAGGTTTTTAATTATAATTTTGTTTTAATATTAATTAACTATATTTTAACAAATTTTATTATTCATTAAGGCTATAAATGATATTAACCGTTCTAACTTTTAATGTGGGAGCTCGGATACGAAAAATCACTTCGCTAATAATAGTAAATTTATTATTTGAGAAGTAAGTTTCATATCTATCGCGCTCATGCGGATTCTTACGATGGTTATTTACAAAGATATCCTTAATGAATTTAAATATTATGTTTAATTTCCATTTTTAAAAATATATAATAAATTATGTCAATTACCTTTTTATATTTTCTAATATATATATATATATATATATAAAGTAAATATTAATATAATAAAACGAAAACTATATTTAGAAAAAGGAAAAGAAAACATATTTTAAGAAAATATATTTTGTATATAATGTTATTTCATATAAAGGAAAGTTCACAAGAAAAAAATTTAGATGTTAAAAATAGTAATCATCACTTTAAAATATCTATCTTATTAAAGTTGTAGTACTCTTTAGGTTTGTTTGGAAAATTAAATAGTAGTAATAAAGAGTTTAATGTTGTTTGGCTATAAGTTTAATAGAATTGGGCTTTTAAACATTGTTATAATAGAATTGGGCTTTTGTTTAATTTATTTTATGTTATGGTTGACTTTAATCATTTGGCCTATTGTAGTAATTTGTGTTTTTAGTTTATATTTTATATAAAGACCATATTCAATTTTATTTATTGTTGACTAAATTAAAAACAACATCAGTTTTTAAGATAATAACAATTTACATTTCAAATAATTTAATACTCAAATATATTTTATCTAAAGTATTTTACATTATTTATCATAAAGACACAAAATATTTGAATAGTTTTAACTAAAATATTAAAATTTTGTTTTCGTAACTGGATATTTATCTGAAACACCTATCCCCCCCCCAAAATCAGTTTTACCCCGATTAATCTAAAATTAATCCTAGAAATCGTAACCAAAACGTTATCATATTGGAACCAAAAATTTATCTGATATTAGTCGGTTATTATAATTATTACCAAACTGAGTTCAAACCAAAAGAATCGAACCGAACGCAAATCAATTTATATAGATAACAGAACATATCTTATATCTGTAGAATTAAAAAAACTACGAACATAAAGAATCCAACAAAATTTGAACCCAAAATCAAACCCCAGTCCTATTACATTTAATACGATCATAGTTTTTGAAATACGGTAATAACCGATGACTTATGAATATATTATACTTTTCCAAATTAAGTTAAACCCGCGCCGGTGCGCGGGTCAAGATCTAGTTATATGAAACAGCATAATACATATTTTTAAAATCAATGAAATAATTTTATTTATATCAATATATTTTCTCAGATTATTGCAAAATAATATTTAGAATAGAATATACTAAAATATCATTGATGAATTAAAAATATTTTATAATGGATACTATTAACATCTTTATTAATTTTTGAATTATATATATATATATATATATATATATATATATTTTTTTTTTTTAATTTTCCACGTTCATCAATCAAACTACATAAAGATAAATACAAACTTGGGGGTTTTGCAAAACCAACCCAAAAATTCAAGTCAAACACAAAACCAACCTCTTTTTTTTTGTCATTACTATTCACTCTTAAAAAACCTAAACTCTCCTCATGTTTCTATCTATTTACCAAATTGCCATTATTATTAAATCTGATATTATTTTCGAAAATTATAAAAAACCTATTACACCCTAAACATTTCTCCTTATTTACCACAATGCCATTGTCATCAATATTTGCAACCACCAAAAACCACCATTGATGAGCTCTTTAAGCTTGTGTTTATGAATTTTCAACCACTTATTTCACTTTCTAAACAAACAATACTTCATTTCCTCTCATCTCCTCTCTATTTTCATCTAAACAATCCTCATAACTCTCATTTTCATTAACACAAACTTCATAGTTTCGATTTTATTCATAAGTGAATCGTAAAGGTTGCTTCTTTTGCTCATATTTGGATTCTGGACGGTGGAAAAGCTTGGAAACAAGCTTTAAACCGGTGTCAAGGTAACTATTTACATGTTTTTCGTCATATCTCTGATCTGTATCGCGAAAGTAGACTGTATTATATGTCTACACTTACGTGTAGACTTACAATGCAGTCTACTTGTCAACGCACAGGTTACTTTTGCAATTGACCAAAATAATTTTTTTTTGTAATGTAGACCTACAAGTACGTCAACGTCTTTACCTTTGAAACCAAAAACAAAAAAATTGGTAAACTTACTAAGAAATCTACATAAAAGAGGTTAGATTTGCAATTGACCAAAATTTTGACTTACCATTGTAGACTTTCTTGGAAGTCTACACTTTGTAGACTGCTAGGTAAGTCTACGGAAGGTCAGTTTTGCATTTGACCAAAACTTTGACTTCATTGAATAGGTTTCTTTTGTATTTGACTAAAATATTTAGAAGCTGACTAAAACTTACTTTACGTGTAGACTTCATATGCAGTCTACAAAACTTAGGAAAAAAAAGTAGACTGTATATGAAGTCTACTATTTTATGTTGGTCAATTGCAAAACTAACCTGTCGGGTTATAATGTAGACTTTTACTGCAGTCTACAGTTACGTAGACATTTAGTTTTGTCTACTAGTAGAAAGTCAACTTTGGTCAATTGCAAAACTAACCTCTTTCAAACAAATTTAAAAATGTAGACTGCATAGAAAGTCTACTTCTAAANGACATTTAGTTTTGTCTACTAGTAGAAAGTCAACTTTGGTCAATTGCAAAACTAACCTCTTTCAAACAAATTTAAAAATGTAGACTGCATAGAAAGTCTACTTCTAAAAGTCAAACTCTGAACGAATTCTGGTCAATTGCAAAACTAACCTTTTTAAAAATGTAGACTAAAAAGTAAGTCTACTCATATAAAATCACATATTTTTTTTTCAAATACAGAAAGTAACCCGTGAATTTGGAAATTGCAAAAACCAACCTAAACGTAGACCTAATTTGCAGTCTACAAAATGTAAACTGAATAAAACGTCTACTCGTCTGT